GAATTTAGGATCAATTGTACCATTGCAACTCTAAGGGTCGATATCTTTTACACCGTGAGGGATTCACGTAGACCACTCTTAAGAATATTTCATAAATATAATTTCTTTGGAACTTCCATTTCAATAATTCAAAGAGAGATCTATTTCAAATTCATATCATCTGAATTTAGCGGAAACACGTATAAAAGGTAAGTTAGCTCTATACAAGATTGGGAAAGTGCCTTTGAATCTGAATGCCAAACTCCAGTCAAAATTAGGAAACTAGTGCGCAACTAGATTTCCTTATAAAAGGATAGGATTATAATGTCTATGTTCTCGGCCATAGTGAAGTTCTAAACCGTAATTTTTTTGCTACCAAGTGCTCCATATATATACTTTTCTCTCCAAATAGTGAAATCCCTAATATCATAATAGACTTAACTTTCACATTGTGGTGAACCACTCTAAATTCTTGTGTAATTATTTAATTTCAGAACTTATATTTATTGTTCATACACCCAATATTATCAAATTAAGGCACTAAATAACGATCCAAACAGCATTGAATTGGTGAGTGGTGCGCTCAGCACAAATTAATCGTAAATTTTACTGTTTTACAAATATTTTTGAATATTTCCCTCCGTACGTAACTAATTGTTGACACGAAAAAAATCAGTGTGGAATTAAAGAATCGTTATGATCGGCATTTTTCTTATAATACGTGGGACTTATAATTGCATTTCATTATTTACATACGCATCTAATGATTTGAGCGTCAAAGTGCCTTCCGCAAGTACATCCTCGATGCCACGTTGACGTAGAACAACACAGATATGAAATATCATTGATTTGTGATATATTAAAATTAGTAATTAGAAAAGATAGACAGTAGCCTCTATCCGGGAACGTCATTAACAGAGATAACCGTTCTGTTGCTTCCTTGAAAGGCTACATGATTACGATTATCTTAGCTGTATTATTTCTTAATTAGAAGGTCAAGAAAACTACAGGAATAATGTGATGCGGGCAGAGCGACAGACTATTGAATACGATATTTAATTTGAATTTCCTTTCTTGTGTAGACCAAATAGGTAATAGGAACATATACAAAAGAACAAATCATGAAAAGCGACCTTATTTTCCTTTGTGTGTATATTAATATTTATTAGCAGTTAATCTTAGGGAACGCATATTTAGCCCAGTATTAGCTTCTAACTAACTAGCTGATGTAATAGCCACGTTGTGAATTTAAGAGTTGATCCAAACATATAATAATAGTAGTCATGAAAACATGTTTATAAAAGTGATATGGTCGAGTGTTCTTCATTAGTGACAAACTCCACGATTGATCATATAATTATTTGAAAAGACTTTTGTTTTTAATGTCCTTGAGATCAATAGTCATATTCCACATTATAAAAGTCATCAATATTTCCTTAATTTAAGCTGTGATTGTGATTAATTAATTAAGATAGTCTTATGGTTTAGGTTTACGAATAATTTGATATATCAATCCTCTCATTTGTATGTTTTGAAAGAAAAATAAAATAAGAAAAATGAGGAAAATAATTTCTTGTGATTTGGAAAGGAAAATAAAAATAAACTAAAAAGAAAAAAAAATGTTCATGGAAAAAGGAAGGACCAAATAAATTATCATCTACGTTCATATATACTCATTATTTATGTCCATAGCTGTTGGAGAATTATATTTTGTTTTAGTGTATTTCGATTCCTCATATATAATTAATGGTATTTGTTGACGGTCAAATTTCGTCAACAGAAATACGCCGGATCACCCTCTGGTATTTCGTTGAGTTACCGGCTAGAAATTAACTGTATATTTGAAATTATGCTATGAAGTGTTTATTGCATTTTTGGAGGCATGAGAATAATGCTTGAATGAGATGACACACAAAATTTATAGTGGTTCACTCTGTTAATAAAGAGCTACATCCACTTGTGTATTGTATTTCTCTTGGGCTCTTTTTGGATTACATAGAATCAGCTCTCTATTCTCTGATTACATATGAAAAATAGCCAAAAATCCTCTCTTTTTTCTTCATTCGGGGCCTTGTCCCTTTTATAGCCAGAGATTACTTCATGGGTGGTTTTTCTTGGTAGGTCCATCCACTTAAGTGGCCTACTAGTCTATGAACCCGACCCATAGCCTGTCACCACCTTTTTCACTGTTCACTCATCCAATTTGTCCCATTTTGCGGCTATGCATATCCCCCTTTAATACTCCACCGTCCATTAAAGGGTGGTTTATGGGCTTGTAATTAATGCCTGCATTACTGACATTCTTCAAACCTAGACGTAACTCCCTTATCCACTAAGGGACCTTTCTGGGGACGTGGACCCATGTTGGTACGGTCGTCCGTCTAGAAGCCTCTCCTCCTTGGAAGGGTCGGCCGTCTGGAGGCCTCTCCTCCTTGGAGGAGTTGGCTGTTCGGATGCCTCTCCTCCTTGGAGGAGTCGTCCGTCTGGAAACCTCTCCTCCTTGGAGGAGTCATCCGTCAGGAGGCCTCTCCTCCTTGGAGGAGTTGGCCGTTCGGATGCCTCTCCTCCTTGGAGGAGTTGGCCGTTCGGATGCCTCTCCTCTTTGGAGGAGTCGTCCGTCTGGAAGCCTCTCCTCTTTGGAGGAGTCGTCCGTCTGGAGGCCTCTCCTCCTTTGAGGAGTCGATCGTCTGGAAGCCTATCCTCCTTGGAGGAGTCGTCCGTCTAGAGGCCTCTCCTCCTTGGAGGAGTCGACCGTCTGGAAGCCTCTCCTCCTTGGAGGAGTCGTCCGTCTGGAGGCCTCTCCTCATTGGAGGAGTCGACCGTCTGGAAGCCTCTCCTCCTTGGAGCAGTTGGCCGTTCGGAAGCCTCTCTTCCTTGGAGGAGTTGTCCGTCTGGAGGCCTCTCCTCCTTGGAGGAGTCGGCTGTCTGGAAGCCTCTCCTCCTTAGAGGAGTTGGCCGTTCGGATGTCTCTCCTCCTTGGAGGAGTTCGTCCGTCTGGAGGCCTCTCCTCCTTAGAGGAGTTGGCCGTCTCTGACGTAGCAGCGCATATTTTCCCACACAACAGTATTGTTTCGGTTAAGAGAGAATTGAATCCTGAAGATTGCTAAAAAATCTTTTTGGTTTTGAACAACCTTGGCTGTTTTTGTAACTACGTTGTGAATAAACTCAGGAGTTACTCCTTTTTTTTTCGCTCTCAACTATGATTTCAAAATTTTGATCATCAGTCTTTTAACTAGATACTAAGATCTTAATGTTTTAAATAATGTATGACCAATCATTAAAATGCGTTATTTAATGAGCTCAATTTTAAAACATGAAAGGGTATTGCTATTTGTCACGACTCTTAAAGCTTGGGATATAAATTTCTTAAGAGGACTTGGGCCTACATAGATAAGTGACATCATTAATAGGATCTACCACTCTCACATATATTTTGTTATACGACTCTCACAAGTGTCATGATACAAACCTTTATTCAACATAAAAAGGTCGGTTAAACATCAAAATTAGACAAGACGTGATCTTATTTGTTGTTTTACATAAGAATCCTAGGATATTGGCCAGTGCCGTGTCAAAATCACGAGCAACATTTTGTATTTGTTTATGTAAATATCTATATCATCACTTGCAAAATTGACAATGATCTACCGTTTCACTTCCCTCACTTAGCTGGCTTAGTGACTTTTCAAAGGGAAAAATAATCAAAATAGAAAAACTTTGTTGTAAACAGTAGATACTGCAATAAGGATGGACGGTCAAATTATGGGCAACATGGTCCGTAAGAATATTCTGTCTAGATTTGGGTCCGCGGTGGTCTTTTCCCTAGGAAGCGACTCCGGCTAGCTTAGCCGAGGCCGACGCATTCCTCCGACGAGTTTAGACGGACAACTAAAACAGTAGGAATTTTATACGGACAAAAATTAGAGCACGATATTACTACGTATACATACGTACACGTATATGTACCCATGAAGTACTGAAGGGTCAAAATTTGTTTTAAAGGGTGATGAGTACAGGATGTTTGAGCAAGACATGTACAAATAATGTTATAATGAGCGAAGGAATTGCCGTAGCTCCATGAGGTTTCTACCAACTTCCCACCACGAATATAAGATTTTAAAACTACTTTCTTTCTCCTTCGTCAAGCATTGACTTCCTAAAACCATTTGTGTTTTTGTTTCATTTCATGCCCTAAACAGGTCATTGACATAGTCAAGCATAGACTTGGATATTTTATACAAGAATATAGAGGAAATAAACGAGGAAATTACTCGGCTCTTACAGTAATGAGATAACGATGTTAATTTTGATCCACTCTTTATAAACTGAGTTGTTACTTGTTAATTAGCGATACATGATTTATATTTTTAAACACCCGTTCTTTTCACATGTTTAAATTGAGAATTTGAGTTAAAAATTGAATTTATTTAAAAAAAAATATTGTAGTAAAAAATTAAATTAAATATAAATTTTTATGAAAAAAAAAATTTTGAGTTATGTTTTGAATTGTAATAAAAAAAAAAAAGAGTAACCTTTTGAGTCATACATGACAGAGTAGGCAATTACTCGGCTCTTACAGTAATGAGATAACGATGTTAATTTTGATCCACTCTTTATAAACTGAGTTGTTACTTGTTAATTAGCGATACATGATTTATATTTTTAAACACCCGTTCTTTTCACATGTTTAAATTGAGAATTTGAGTTAAAAATTGAATTTATTTAAAAAAAAATATTGTAGTAAAAAATTAAATTAAATATAAATTTTTATGAAAGAAAAAATTTGAGTTATGTTTTGAATTGTAATAAAAAAAAAAAAAAAAGAGTAACCTTTTGAGTCATACATGAAAGAGTAGGCTTGAATTTCATGTAGACAAACAGAAAAACTTTTGTATTGACTCTCACATGGATATTTACAATATTAGTGGACGTTTGGTTCACAGATTTAGAATCATTCGTGTGTTTTCTGTAAGAGAAAATACTGTAACAAATTACGAACTATGATTCAAACCATACACAAATTCTCATGCCAAACATCCTCTTAGTCCTTATATAAAACACCTCCATATATGCTTATATATAGCTACTTTTAGATCCATTATAATGATAGCCCCAGCCAGGCAGCCACCAAGCAACTTAAAGCCAAAATGTAAACCTCTTTTACTTCAAATATTAGTATTTTTTTTTTTCCTCTTTTCTCTTTCCTTCTCTTTCTCTATCTATATTTTTTTTCCTCCATGCCATTTTAGTGAGAGGGATTTATTATCCTACGCCTGGGGCGCACCTTAACCGTGAGTGGATTGGCCATCTCACACGACAACCTCAGAACCTCGGACAAGTCAACGCTATTCTGACCGTCGGGCAGCCATTCGAACTCGTGCAATAGTGACGCCACCCAAAAGGCAACCGTCGTCAACCCAAGAGTCTTTCCCGGGCAGGTTCTCCTGCCCGAACCGAACGGTGCGAGTCTGAGATCCGACCCAAATACCGAAAACTCGGGCTCGTTCTCTTTTGTCATGAACCTCTGGGGCTTATATTCCAGTGGGTCCACCCAAAATTCAGGGTCCCTAGATATGGCCCACATATTCACCATTGCTGTGGTCCCCTTGGGCACGAGATACCCATCAATTGTCGTATCCGTGATGGCAAGGCGGGCCCAGGAGAGCAGTGGGCCCGGTGGGTGTAGCCTTAGCACTTCTTTAATCACAGCCGTTAGATAAACTAATTCGGACATGTCTGATTCGGAAACGGATCTTGATCTCCCCACAACTCTGTCTAGCTCATCATGGACTGTTGACTGAATATCAGGATGAAGGATCACCCTCGCTAGGATCCACTCAATCAGTACCGCAACAGTATCTGTTCCTCTAAATATCATTTCCTGCACAAGAAAAAATAAATAAACAAAATGAATACCATTTTTTTTTGTCTTCAAATTCAATTATTAGTATTCACTATTTACTATTGAGTTTTAAAATATAGTTAAACTTGCGATTGATTAAAATTCTACTAGTAAAGTAGTGGGATAATCGAGAGGTAATTGTATGACACCCTCTGTAAAGTTTAAATTTCATACCTCAAATTCAAAAAAAATAAAATAAAATATTCAATTAATGAGAACTCCCAAGTCTCAAAACTATATAAAACACACGAGGGAAAGTAATAACTCATGTAGAAGGTGGTATCTTCTCTTTTTTTTTTTTCTTTTTTTTTTTATGGGAACGGTATCTTGTATTTTTAAATGACAATTAAATTGTATGAAATCTAACAACCGTAAACAAAGAGTCAATTTTTCTAATTAAAAAAAAAACGCGCAAAACGATTCCTTCCATATTCTAAAAAATATTTTACGTAATACGTATTATTCGTACTGAATATAGTATGAAAATAATAGTGTATGAAACATATATAACGAGTAGTTTTAATTACCCAAAGGACGGCGATCATATCGGAGTCGGACAACTTATCAGGTCCATTGAGGGAAAGCAAAACATCAACAAAATCATTGCCACTTTCACCGTTTTTCCGACGGTGCTCCGCCACGATTCCGCCGACAAACCTGTTCACTTTCGGCACGAGTCTCGAGCACCGGAACCCGATCCTCTGAGCGTCGAACTCCGCCGCCCACGGAAGGTGGTCGGACCAGTTCAGAACCCCCAACAGCTCGTACCCTTCCTCCACCAATCCCCTCACTTCTTCCACTTCATTGATCGTCTCTTCGATTCCGTACATCTGTCCGAACACCGACCACATCATGTTGTTCAACGAAGCCCGTTTGAGAATTCCTCGTACGGAGAAAGAAGAAGTACTGTTTTTTATGAGGTTTTGGACCATTTGATCGGCGATTTGTCGCCTCTGATTCTCCGAGGATTTGATTTGCTTGGGGCAGAAGAGGTGGTTGGCGGCGATTCTTCTCAGAGTTCTCCAGTACACGCCGTACGGAGCGAAACCGATGGCGCGGTTGAACATCAGCTTGTAAGCCGACTCCTTGACGGGGCGGTCGGCGAAGACGGCGCTGTTGAGAATCTCCTTGGCGACGTCCGGGTGGCACGTGACCACGGCGCGTGTCTCGCCGAGGCTGAAGGCCATCAGCCGCTTGGCGCCGAGGGATGAAGCTGCGGCGGCGAGCCGGCGGTGGGCCAGGGAGGCCATCAGGCCCATGCTGCCGACGAAGGGGAGGCCTCGTGGGCCGGGAATGATGGGCTTTCGGTGTTGGTGGTGGCGGAAGCGGAAGTAACCCCAGGCTGGACCCCCGGGATGGGCCCAATAGATGAGGGCCATGACGAGCCAGGCCAGGCCAATGAGAAGGACCAGCCATGGCCATGCAAAGGTATCAACTCTGCATCTAGAGGCGAGAGCGAAGACCCAAAGGGTGTCTATTTCAGTTTTCATGGTGAAGAGGGACTTAAAAGAAAGAATAATATTTAGTGAGAAAGAAGAGAGAACACACGGAACAAAAGAAATGAGTTTGGTTTTGGCTCGTGAATTTGAAAGGTAGAGGAAGTTGCGTATTTATAGAGTACAAGATATATAAATGATAATGAATGTGTAATGTATATGTTATGTACATGTCCATATAGTTTTTAAGGGAATTTTATAATAACCGTTGCACTGGAAAAGTATAACCGAAATTTTTGTTTTTTGTTTTTCTGTTCTCTTTTTTTTTATGTATTATAATTGTTATTATTATTATTATTTTCTTGTATTTGTTTGAAAGTTTATGAGCTCCGCCGCCACGAGTGCACGAACAAGTTTAGAGGAGATCGCCAATGCCACGCGCCTCTCACTCGCTGGTGGAGCATGCGCTTGTGGTTTTGTTGCACTTGTGTTGCCGGTGGGTGGTACGGGAGATGAGATGATATACATAATTAGGGCCAATATAGAAAATAATTAGAATGATGGGCACTTTTTAAGAATAGAACGATTGGGGAATTTATATACATGTTTTGAACAATTTTTAGACCATCTTAAATACAAAGTAAAAAGTTAAATATTTTTTTGAAGGGAAAATTTTCATTTCAAAAATATATATAATAAAGTTATACACTCAAATTAGTCGCAAGTCATGAGCACCATCTACAAGTAAATTCACTCGAACATTAATTAAATCCACCTGTAAAGATAGATGAAGCACAAGACGAAATATAAGTGTTAAGATTTAATAAGAAAAGACCCGCTTAGCACATAAAGATTGTGCGCGACTTAAAGCTCATCACACAGAACCACTACAATCAATGGATTAAACCACGACCGAAACCAAGTTCCAAATAATGAGAACATGAATGACACAACATAGAACTAAATTTAGTTAGACTACCAGTGGCCTCTTATTTTCAGGTGTTAGATCTGTATAAAAATCTATCTGTTCTGCATATCTTTTCAATTTGATGTGATTTCTACCAGATCTAACAGTAAAAAATTGAAACTATCGGCAATCTTAATTTAGGTACATCTAAAACTTTTGCAATAATTGCTTAATAATTTAGGAGTTTCTCTAGTAGTCCATGAAAATATAGACTACCGACAATTCCTTTTTTCAGCTATAAAATCTGTATCAGATACTGTTTGTTTTATATATTTTTTCAATTTGATGTGATTTTGACCAAATCTGACTGTTAAAATCTATAACTATCGATAGGACAGCCTACAAACTCCCTTCTTTAAATAAAAGTATAAATTAATTAATTAGAGCAGCAAAACAAAAGGTTGCAATTAATTAAAAATGTAACCCCCTTATTATAATATTTGGTAAAAACGGTAAATAACTTAGAATCTCTATCATTATCTAACAGAAATTTCCTACAGCTCCAAAATTAGAGGTAGTAAAAAGTTAAAAAAAAAATCAGCACAAGAAAGTTTAACGACGATGGTTGTATAAATATGGATTTCATTTCCTAATATTTGTGTAGTTTTAGCTAACTACCATTATGATTGCAGCTAGTTTTGATTAGGGCTGTTCATAAACCCGAACAACCCACAAACCCAACCCATCCCGCCCCAACCCAAGCCGAAAAAAGCAACCCGCAGCATTATTTTTAAATTTTCGGCCTATTATACCTCTAACCTGAAGTGTTTTGGGCAGATTGCTGGTTGGGCCCATAACAACCCGCAATCCCCAACCCAACCCGCACAACATACCCCCAAGCTTTCGGCCCAAGCCGAACTGCCCAAGTTCTACCTTGGGCTCGCTAACATTAGGGTTCACAATCTCACTCTCGGTCTCCCCTCCCGTGAACCCCCTCTTCTTGCCTCTTCCATTTCAGTTTTCCCTCTTCTTCCTCTCCCGTGAACCCCCTCATAACTCTCTCCTCATTGCTCAGTCCTCTCGGCCGCCGTCTTGCCCACTTTCTCCGGTGCTCTCTCGCCGGACTGATAAGGATGGTTGCTATTTCTATTTAATGATGAAGTTTGAATATTATATTGAACTTTAAGTCTTTGATTTTTTGAATGTTGAAACCGACCACCCAACCCACCCCGCACCACCCCAACCCAACCCGAACATCGTTGGGTTGTGAAATTTTTCTAACATCGTTGGGGCCAAATATGTGCAACCCGTACCTTTTGGGACGGAGAAAAAAAAATCATATCCCGCACCAACCCAACCCATGAACAACCATAGTTTTGATGCTCCTCAAACCATTTAAAAAGACTACTTTAAAAGTGAAAAGACTTTCGCATTTTCAACTGTCTTTATTAGCTAAATCAGAAGAACCTTTTGTTGCTGTTTAGTATCATCAAGCAGTAACACAACTGCTATTTAAAAACGCTTTTATTACCAAAAAGGGTCAATTAATAAAATCTTACTAGCAAGAGATTTTAACTTTATTAGCCAAATTTTGAGGACAAAATATATGTTGGTGAAGTATATTTCTAGATAAATGATATCCGAATATGCCATTTAGTACGGAAAATAAGTACTAGATTTCTTTAAAAGTGGTGCCTAGTCTAATGTAACACCATGTTTCTTTTTTTTTTTTTTTTTTGGGGTAACGTAATATACACCGTGATGTTAGCTCATTGCTCATAGTAATTTTTTGTTTTTTTTGTTTTAAGGATTGAGCATATATTTTCTTATGCGTTGTTACTTGTTAAACGTTTCTTAGTTAGATTAATTTCTGAAATTATTATTAAAAACTTATCGTACTAATTAGCATCTTGTGTATTTTCATTTGTTATTTTTGTATCGTTGTTTTAACAATATTAAAAGTACCTTTTAGTGTAAAATTATGACTACTCATCCCGAGGGCCTTTCTTTAGGACATGATGAATGTCTTTTTTATTTACTATGTTTTAAGAAATTAGTGAGTAAATTTAAAAAAAAAAAAAAAAAAGTCAAAAGGGACATTTTTTTTTGTTTCATAAAAGGACCTGTGTAATACTTTATTGCCACGCGTAAAAGAGTCACAGAACTTAATATAACTTAAGTTGCATACATACAATGTTTATTTTGATTTGCTTCAAACATAATTGTGTTTCACAGAATCTAGTTTTCACCTATTAGCGAAAATTCAAAATTGATTACCAAGTAATTACTCAAAAGAATATTTTTTTTTTCCCTTGAAATGTGGTCTTCCTTAGATAGTTCCAAAAGAACTCATTTTCTCAAAGATTAATTTTATTTAAGACGTTAGCAATTGATGGCCGACATGTAACCTAGTTAGTACAAAAATAAACAATATATAGACGCTAATTGTTAATCGGTACATTCCATATGAAGATTCCAAATTAAGCTACGCCTAAGGACCCTATGTTTGGTAGGAAAGAAAAGTAGAGGGAAGGAAGAAGGTGGAAGGATTTTGGGAGGGAAAATGAAAATATAAGTTGTTTGGTAGAAGAGAAAAGAGAAAGGAAGAGAAAATAGAGTGGAAAATAATACATGTGAGCCCCACTATTTTTTTTCTTTCCACAAGTGGGAAGAAAATGGGATGAAAAATGAGGACAACTCATTAAAGTGAGCAAAGTTACTAAATTACCCTTTTCTCCATTAACATCTAAGCAAAAAATTTAAGGGTATAAAAGTAATTTACGAGTAAGATTTTTTCTTTCCTCCCAATTTAACTTCCAATACCAAACAAGTGAAGGTAAGCTCATTTTCTTTCTATCTTCTCATACCAAACAACATAAAAGAAAATCAATTTCCTTTCCATCATTGCTATTTTCCATCACTTTCATATTTCCTTTCTATCATATTTTCTTTCCTTCCTACCAAACATAACATAAGTAACCTTTATGGTTAATCTTGATATGTTTTCACTTAATTACTTCTTGAGCATCACTAAAATCCTCATTAATATCAATTGTAACTATTCCGACCAACTCAGAAAGGACCCTAAAAGGTGACAATATTGTTGTCCAATACTTTATAAAGTGTATACAACATTTTGATGGTTTTTTTTTTTTTCCCCTCTAGAATACAACATGTTAATGTTAAAAGGCGGATTTTAATGATTTACTTTGTTTTCAATTTAATCACGATTCACCTCTTTTAGCTATAATTGAAGTATTTTTAAATATTTTTAATTAATTAGTTAGATCGTATTTTTGAAAATTGAACTCTCAACTAATATGATCTAAATTAGGGCACATATATACTGTATTTGTTTATTGGTGTCATATTATATATAATATATATATATATTGAAATTATTGAGAGCACAGTTAAAATTTTCCAAAACTCTGTTTCAACAAAGAAGAAAAAAAAAATCAAAATCTCAATAGATTCGCGTACCTCGCTAAGATCAACGTGGCTCCGCCACGGCTTTTTAATGAGATATATAAGTTATCTCTTGCATTTAGGATTAGGGAGACATTTAGTTTATATATTATAATTATTTTTTATTTATGTGTATTTTTTATGAAAAAAAAATATTATAATAAATTATGAATTATAATTTAAATTATGGTATAAATTTTCTTATCAAATGTATCCTAAATATGTAAACCTATGGAAAAATAGCACACCAATCCATTTGGTAGTTTCTTTGTACAGAATTTATCGTATCAAATTAGTAATAACTAGTAATGTAATGTTAGTGGACGTTTAGTTCACAGATTTAGAATTATTTTTAATTTAAATATATTTTTTATGAAAAAAAAATATTATAACGAATCACAAATTATAATTCAAATTATAATACAATGTTTATACCGAATACTTTCCTAATTTTTGCAATAATAAACAACAATATATATTGCTAATGCTAGCTAGTGCGTGGATTACACTGTAGACAAAATGGCGCGTAGGGAAGGGCTTTAAGACAATTTAACATGGAAAGCTTTTGTTAAGTTTCAGATAACAGTGTTCGACACGTGGGGGATCGTGTGGCTGGGCATTGTCGGGTCAGAATATCGACAGCGGTTTCACATGAGGCCCATGCACTTATGGCTCTCCTCTCCTCTCTCGTACACTGTTTTTGGGCCTCAATCCTAAGCCGACGACACAATGCAATACATGGTCCACCCTTCTCTGTTTGCTGCCACGTGTACGTTGCA